TACATCACAACATCAAAATCACACATCTAATTATTTAACAATTACATAAACATTACATCATTAATTATTTAATTAACCAAAAAAATTACATCTTTATTAATAACAAATTAATTATTAAACAAAACTATTAAATATAAGGATTAATCTACTTGTACATGGGGTTGACATAAAGGATGACATAATGTGAGTGGGGGTGGGGCTCACGATATTGTAGCATGGGACTCACCTCACTCACATTATGTTATCCTTTATGTCACCCCCAATGTACCCCTAACATTTCTCTAAATATAAACTAGGCAAACGTGCATTGCACGTTGCTTGAACCTAATATATATATATAATTGCATATGCCATATCTTTGATTAATTAATTAATTCAATTGATACGTAAGAAGGCATGTTAAAAATAAGATTTAAATCGTCTCTAAAATTTCAAACTATAGCCCCTGTTTGGTGGCCTTTTTTTGGAAAAAATATTGTTTTAAAAAGTAATTTTTTGGAGATTGTATGATTAGAAAATAAGAAAAAAATTGTGGTTTATGCAGAATATTTTATTATATGAATGTGTGATTGAAAATGAGTATATAAGGACAAACATGAGCTTAGTTATGATCTTTAACATAAATAAATAATAATATGGAAATCAGTATCGTGCTAATCGTCATTTTGGCTTCTATTATTCCACATTAATGAGAAGAATAGTAATTTTTGGGAAATGTGTGATTTTAAAAAAAAAAGTTTTTGATTTTAAGTGTAATATTATTTTATTGAAAAATGTGTGATTGATGAAAAGTGAGGAAAAATGAATTATAATTTAACGGAGAATAAAAGAGTCCAAACGGGGATATTATTTTCTTCAAGGAATCTTTTGTGAAAAGTTGTCTGACCATTTCCACATAAAATCCAATTTTTCTTTGAAGGAAAAGATAAGTAACATAAACTAGAATATATTCAAACCCGCAAAAGTTCCTGGCAACAGTTAGTCCAATTGGAGAGTTAATATCTTCAAAATATTGTTCACGTCATCAATAAACTTTTTTTTTTTTTTTTTGTCATCAGAAAATCAAAATATTATCTTTGTTCACATTTATATCTTTAACGAACCTAAAACCAATATCAATATCATAACTATCTTATCATCAAATTATTTAGTTAGATTATGGAAAAAAATTATTTTCTTTGCATAATCGATACATGAGCAAAAGCCAGAACGCTGCTTCACGTACAGAAGCAGAGTTCACAGAAGAAAAACAGATCCTCACAACAAGGGGTGGGTGGGGGTGGCGTTTTCTTTTTCAATATTTTACTTACATGGAACCCACCCATATGAGTATTCTGTTGCTTTTCCGGCAAATCCATTTATGTACAAATGGATTTTCTGATTCGAGGAACAGAGAATATGCTGAAGTTGGCAAGATCTCTCAGAATTGGAGGACCCATCAATCAACATGAATATATATTCTACGTAAAGCTTTGCTGTATATAAAAATTGCCATGCAAAATATGCAATCAGTGACGAAAGAATGCCCCCCATTGCGTGCGAGGGAGAGGTTCTTCTGACCAGAGGACAGCCGCCACCTGTTCTTGATGATGACTTTGTAATTTTTGGCCTTTTCTGCTTTGGTTTATTAGTTAGGAAGAATTTACTGTCAAAATTGTCCTCTAATTTTCTATTTGCTAATTTGAGGACCGTTTTCATTTTTCAAATTTGACAGCTATTTGTATATAAATATTGTGTGTATTAGCTCTTTAATTGAAATCGGTAATTACGGACATTTAGCCTATGTTTGGTCGGGATTAAAATAAAATTTTTAATAAATTTTAATAAAAGTTAATGAAATGTGCATTTAGGCCCTGTTTGAGCCAAATTATTATAGAATGAAAATGAAAAATATAACCGTTATTGTGGCTCACACAAAAGATAGAAAATTTGAATTTAAATATTGATGTCATGGATAACGGTCATATTTTTCATTTTAATGAGATAATAATGTAGATCAAACGGGGGCTTAAAAAGCTGTGGATCCCATAAAATAAGTGATTAAAATTAATTGTTAATTTTGACTTAAATGTTAGAACTTTCCTCTTTCTATGATTTAATATTTAAATTGTTGACTTAAATTGTTCACTTTTTACCAAAAAGTAAGATTCAATATTTATTTGATGTATAACTATTGCAATGTTTGAGATCTATTCTTTAAAATTCAATTTTCTTTCAACTTAATTTTAATTATAAATTCACATAATAAAATAATATAGTACGTAAATTCAATTTTTTTTATCACATTTTTCAAAAAAATCACTTTTATATAAAATGTATTCCTAAACATGGAGTCAAACATTAGAATGATATACAACTTGTTTGATTCACATCTGCTTTAAAATACATTTTTCTATTTCTTTTTTTCAATTACACATTATCTTCTTTAAAATAATATTACAAGCAATCAAAAAAAATTTTCTTTATTTTTAACCACATATCACTCAATTTAATATTTCAAAATGCATTTTACATAAAAAAATAATAATAATAATAATAAATTTGGGCTCAAACATGCCAATAATGTGTTTGATAAGTTGGTCAAAAGTTTTTTCCCCGTCTAAGTTCCCTGTAATTTCTTCAACATAAATTGGTAGAAGTCCCCACCAAATCCTACGTCTTCTTAATTACTTTTAGATTTTTGAACACCTTTAAAGTAAGCCCCTATTTGATGAAAATTAAAATTCAGATTTTAATTTAAGTCAAAGTCAACAATTAATTATAACTAAACATTTCGTGTGACCCACATCTTTTCAATCACACATTTCATTAACGTTTATCAAAATTTATTAAAAATTTGATTTTAATCCCTCCCAAACAGGAGCTCGATTTATTATTTTAAGTGACTGCTTAAATTCTATACAAAATAGCACTTCTATAGAAGGTTAAATTATAACAAAGAATGATGGTAAGACGGAGCATTGCTTTTAATTGCTAGTCAAGACCTTTTCTTCAACCAAAAAAAAATAAAAATGATAAAGATAATTATCTCGACTCTTTATATTATCTTAAGAAGTCATGATTCGTTGATACTATAAATTACCGATGAGAGCAGTATTAGAACAACTTATTATTGAATCAAACTCTAAACATCTCATCTGAAATTCAATTGGTATCCCTTCAAATAGAAAAATGCTATTCATCCCCAATCTATGTGGATATAAATGATTGGTTAAATGATAGGTAAAATTAAATGACTTATTTAATTTCACCTATCATTTAATGTCACATTAACGCCACATAAATTGTGGATGCATCTCCAGTGGGGATGAGAACAGTATTAGAACAACTTATTATTGAATCAAACTCTAAACATCTCATCTGAAATTCAATTGGTATCCCTTCAAATAGAAAAATGATATTCATCCCCAGTGAGGATGCATTCTCAGTCTATATGGGTATAAATGATTAGTTAAATGATATGTGAAATTAAATGACTTATTTAATTTCACCTATCATTTAATGCCACATTAATATCTTATAGACTGGGGATGCATTCCCAGTGGGGATGAATAGCATTTCTTCTTCAAATAACTCAATCCATGAAATTAATTTGCTGATATTCCCATTTCCAGGATCCCTATAGACCAAATCCCCTTGGCTTCTTTTTAGCAATAAAAAAAGGAAAGGGCATTTATGTAATATCAAGATGAAATATTACGTGGGTCCACCCACACAAGACGTCCAAGATGCATAAAGAGGGATGGAGATCATTATATATAATCCCCACAGCCTCTGGCTTATTTGGTAGGATTTTAGGGAGGCAGCCAAATCATAGGGAAACATAGTAATTAGAAAAAAATGGGAAGGTCCCCTTGCTGTGATGAAAGTGGCCTCAAGAAGGGTCCCTGGACCCCTGAAGAAGATGACAAGCTCATCAAACATATCCAAAAACACGGCCATGGCAGCTGGAGAGCCCTGCCCAAACTTGCTGGTAGGGTACCTTTTATCCCTCCATGAACCATCAACTCCGTCCCGTCCAGCCCTGCATTCTTAGTAGAATTCTTCTAATATGTATCTTTGTACATGTTTATGGCATTTACAGGTCTGAACAGATGTGGAAAGAGTTGCAGGCTCCGTTGGACAAATTACTTGAGACCGGATATCAAAAGAGGAAAATTTTCTCAAGAAGAGGAACAATCGATTCTCAACCTCCATGCCATCCTTGGGAACAAGTAATTTTTTCTCCTACCTCGAACAATTTTTAGAAATATTTATTTATTTTCATATTTATTTATTATAAACCTTTTTTTTTTAAATAAGATGGTCTGCTATTGCAACTCACCTGCCCGGAAGGACTGACAATGAGATAAAAAACTTCTGGAACACTCATCTGAAGAAGAAGTTGATTCAGATGGGGTTTGATCCAATGACTCACCGGCCGCGGACCGACATCTTTTCAAGCTTGCCTCATCTCATAGCCCTGGCCAATCTCAAAGAACTCATTGAAAACCCTTCATGGGAGGATCAGGCCATGAGATTTCAGACAGAAGCTGTCCAAATGGCCAGATTGAATCAGTACTTGCAGTATCTTCTTCAACCTCAAGCTTCCATGGCAGCTACTTTCCCAAACAATCTAAGCACCATCAATACAAACATGGTGTTAAACACACCCTATCTGGAACTACCCACCCCACCCCCCTCTCTTGCCAATTACAATACAAATTACCAGGCAATTAATGATTCAATCCCTTTCTCCCATATGCCTGATTTACAAGCCCCATGCAGCCTTCAGACACCTTTGAACGGGGACATGGTTCAGGCCAGCTCTCATTTTGCAGTTCTTAATCAAGGTGAAAATTCACCTTCTTCTCCATGGCTTCCTCCAACAATCTCTCCTACTCCATCTCCAGCTGCCGCCCAACCAATGGCTGAGACTTCCAACACTAATACTGGAGATGCTTGTAGTACTTCTAGCTATGGAGGAGCTCCATTGTGGTCTGAACTTCTTGATGACCCTATATTTCATGAGATTGCTTAGTATTTAGACACTCTATGCATGAAGGTTTGGAGTTTCTGCCTTCCCTTTCTGTGATTTTTGTTCATCATTCTCTTTTTCCTTTTAATTTAACAGCATATATATACACTGTCCATATACATTTATATGTATCTGTACACTATATATTCAAAGTATCTGTTTGAGTAGCATTAGTGTATAACCTATAGATTTGGCTTGAATTTCTGTATGTACAGAAAGAGGATCTGTAATGCATGGCATCAGAATGCTATTTTCTTCTCATTTTACTTTTAATGTCTTCCAATTTTCGTCGCAAAGTCCCATCGAATGATGAATAGTCATCAACAGAACTTGGGAGACATGTATATATACCAAGAACATAAATGAAATAAAAACATAAAATCCTAGAAGTTACTTAGGTTTTCAATTGACTGGCAACTTTTTGACATTCAGTTGTTAAGGCAATATTTCATTTGTTTTCCATCATTTCCTAAAACAAAATTTATTAACAACACGACAAATATTTGAATCAGGAAACCTTTAAACTTAGAACGAGCATTTTAATGTTCACATTGGTTTTAATATTTCTTTCTTCTTCTTCTTCTTCTTCTTCTTCTTCTTCTTCTTCTTCTTCTTCTTCTTCTCCCTTTGTTTTCTGCAATTCTATATTTGTATGATCATGGATAAAGCATCTATAAATTTAAATTATTAATTGCTGGATGTAATGATATCCAAATATATAATTGACTGAACCTTTGGACCTCCACTGGCCAACCACTCTGGGGTAGCTTTAAACTTTTTTTGTTATCAAATTGTTCTGCAAATTATTAACTAAGGATTTGGGCTGTTTTTGTTTGTGTGTGTGTTAGTGAGTGAGAGAGAGAGAGAGAGTTGACTAAGGGATTATTGTCAAAATGGTGACGCACAAAGATTCACAATGATAAGAGAGGGACCCAAGTAGTTAGGAAACACAAAATTTAATAAGTCATATATGTCTCTATACAAAAAACGTTGATGAATAGATAGCTACCCGCAGCCAATGTTTAACAAGGAATGCATCATTTGACTATGTGATTAGGGGAGCTCGCTGGCTCACGCTTAGTGAAAACCTCGCGCAAGTACGGCTGCTCAAATTGGTTCGATGGTCAAGTGAGCTGGCCATCGACTCGAGGGTCGATTTGAAATTGGTTAGTGAAATGTAATTTTCACTTAAAAGAAAATTGGTGAGTCGTAAGTGACTTGTCCAATCAAGGGTTGAGTTGATGAGCAAGCCTGCTTGCATGGCGAGCCTAGTTGAGCCAAACGACCGACTTAACACCTCTACTTGTGATCGATCTTCAATGAATCATGATTCATCTCCTGATTAAGCATACAATTTGGATTCATTCTATGGCAAATATTATTTCTAAAAGTGAAATTTAACTTGTTTAATTAGTATAACATGTTGTGGTCTTGATTAATGATGTTTTGATATGATTACACTAAATATTATAATTAATGTAGTAAATTAGTAATTATGTCGTAAAGGGTATCTTATACTCTCTTAATTGAAATTGTAATCTTGAAATTCAAAGAGCAGGTGATGATCTGTTCAAGGGTGGTGATCACGATAGCCTTTGTTTGGTTGAGTTGGAACTAGGCATATAAATTGGTTCTAGTTGGGAAAAAATAACTAATTTGACCGTGACAATATTTTCAAATGGGGTTAATGATCTTGTAATCTTCAAGCTATATTAATTTAGGTTGACAAACATAAAGTTGGTTTGAGAATTGAGGATAAGATGGATTTGACTATAATAACAATGAAAAAAGTTCAATAACTAAATATTTATTCTATGTTAAAATAGATATGATTTAATGAAACTTTTCATGTTATGTTATTCTTGAATTGTTGCTATGTGTGACGACTTGTACGAAGCGTTTTCATTTCACTCATATAGCACGTCAGCTTTAAAACTAAGTACGTATTAATTCTTAACATTTATACACATTATGGGATATAGATCAAGGATTTTTCTTAGAAAAGTAAATTCCGGAAGTTAAACGATTCGGTTGAGATGACCGATCTCTATTGCTTGCACGTATCTCTATTCCCGATTCCAAATCCACATTTAGATTCTCTCGATTAACCATCAAAATCGGCTGAAAGAGATGTCATGTTTTCATGATAGTAATTGACTAATTTCATGAAACTCCAATCAATATGTTTAAGCCGGGAGAAAATAAACCCCAAAACAACAAATTATCATAATGTAAAACGGGTGTGACAATTGAAAAAGAGGCGGTGGTAATGACGTGTAACAGTGAATAGGCTTGAACAAATGATGACTTAGATAATAAAACAAAGTTAGAAAATTGAAAGGAAGGACCGAGTGGCAGTATTTCCTTAATGAGTAGGTAGAATCCGTATCTTTTCTAACAAGTGATTGACTATTAACTATCATTTCAATTAATTAGCGAAGCATTAAGACAGGTCTCTAGAACTATAATTTATTGCGTTTTCTTGTAAATATGGAAGTTTGTATAGGACATCAACATGTGTAAAACAAGTAAGCTAGAATTCAATTTGTTGAGGAAAAATCACCATTTCATCAAAAGTCTATTGGTTCTTGTCACACACAGAGAGAGAGAGAGAGAGAGAGAGAGAGAGAGAGAGTATTGTGGCCAACCGATGGCGAATGACGATGGTCTATGAGTATTGGCTGAGAAAGAGAGACACTAGGGCTTGGAGAGTGGAGACGCGTGNGAGAGAGAGAGAGAGAGAGAGAGAGTATGCGTGTATACAATTTGTCCATGATACTATGATACAGAAGCAATAGCCACCACCTAATCCACTATTTTGATTAGATGCTACTCAAACTTTTCATTATTACTTCATTTTAGTTTGAATAATGAACGAAATGTTGCTATCTTAGAGGTTTGCCACGAAACATACCATGTATTTGGACTTCTTAAAGAGTAATTATATTCAAATCATGGTTTTTAAATGATATTACATTTTAAATACAATAAGGTCTCTAATTTTTGCAATTATTTCACTAACTTTTTTTTTTATTATTATTTTTGTCACATTTCTTATATTTAACTTTTTATATGTACTAATTATTAAAAGGTTGTTATAAGAATACAACGAAAAATAGTCAATGATACAAGCGCAAAAATGAGCAAATATTGTAAAATTTTTTTTCACCGCTGACGTGCTTTTTTTCCTTTAATGCTTTTTAACTCTTTTTTTTCGCTTTTTTTTAATTATTAAATAATTTTTAGGTTGATTTAAAAATTTAAAATAATATTAAAATAAAGAAAAGTTTGTTTTATACGTAGGTCGAAATTATGTCTCCACGTTTCGTCATGCTTTACGCTCTTTAAAATACTAGTCACAACTAACTCATGAATGACAAGTACGTCATGGTTGGCTCTTGAATGTATACGAGTCAATTTTCAGAATTTCATAAATCGTGAAATTGTATCTGATGCAATAAATTAATTTCGAATACACAATAATATAACGTGGTAAATTCCAACTTTAAACATTCACGAGTGCGTAAATAATTCATTATAATCAAGAGGATACACATGTTTCTAAGTATATTTTGGAATTACAACGTAAAATAATAAACACACATTCAAAATCAAATAAACAAATTTCATTTATTTCCTGTACTTTTGAAGAACAAAAGTTGTCAAAAATCAAACTTCTTTTTCTCCCTCTGAAAACGTGTATTTTTATTTCCTATAATTCAAGGCGTGTAAAATATTATTATCTGAAGTCCTCATTCTATTAAAAGAAAAAACTCCTAAGAAAATAGAAGACTTACCAAAATAAACTGCAAGAAAATATGTAAGAATATGTCATTAGCCCTGTAAAAAAACTCGTAAATATATTTGATTTATAGAGAATTCAATAAGAAAAGTCTAATCATAGAACATACAACTAATATATCGATAAGAATACTTTGACAAGCGATACTAATATTGTAAGCGCTCATTAAAAAATATTTTAAATAAGTAGATCGTTCAGAATAACCACTTCATAGATAGTAATTTCTCATTTTTTTCAATTTTTATAACTTTGCAGTAAAGACTCTTGTGTCAATTCGAGGAATGGTTGCCATATCTAACCCCTTTGAATTGAACTTCTTTATTATATGCAAGGTATCAAAGTCATGAAATAAACATTAATTATTTATAAGAATGTAATAAAATATTCACTCCACATCAACAGCGGCTATTGCCACTAAACAATTGCCCTAGTAATATTTGCATCAATAATGCTCCAAGTACAGGAGCATTATTGCCAGGGGCCTCACAGGCACCTCACTGTGCCGAGGCCCTACTGTCTGAGAATGTCAAAATGTGGGAAGCAAGCCAGCAATACCAGCTAACATAGGCAGCCATGCCAACAACATCGTGCAGTCAGCAAGACCAAACCGTAGTGGAAGATTCCAGAAGAAGATGAGATGGAAGAAATGCCACATGCTTTCTATTTTATTTTATTTTTTGCTTTCTTTCCGTTGTAAAATTTGTTACAAGATTCTCCACTTGTTGTATAAATAAAGCAGGCGGGATCCATTGTATATACACGAGAAATAGAATTCATTTTGATTTGTATCTTTTTTACAATTAGTGAAATCATTTTCTTCCTACATTTATCTTAGCATTTGCATTTGTTTTATGGTATCAGAGCCATGATGGCCCAAGATGAATCTTCAAATATCAATGATAATTAAAATCAAACCTCAAACGAAAACAATCAAAACCAACCTCCAATCACCATTACAGAACTTGTTGATCCGTCCCAGCCAAACAGTCCATTTTTTATTGGAGCCAATGAAAATTCTGGTGCATTACTCGTTACTCAAATGTTTGATTCTAGCAACTGTCACTCTTGGGCTAGGTAATGAAAAGGGCCCTTCAAATCAAAAACAAGTTGGGATTCATCGATGGAAGCGTTTGTGAATCAGTTGATGCAGACAGCCCCTTGATGAATCATTGGCTTCAATACAATGACATTGTCATCACAT